TGGAGAATTTTAAAATTATAGGTCTCCAGACAAAGTATCCACTGGGCATGTCTGCCTTTTAGCTTCGAGGTCCTAAGCCACTTAAGGGCCGAATGGTCGGTAATCAACGTAAAGTGGGCAGTACCTAAGTACTGGTGAAAATGCTCTATAGCCCATACCACGGCTAGACATTCTAGCTCAGTTATGTGGTAATTTTTCTCGGCTCTAGTGAGACTTCTACTTGTGTATGCTATGACATACTCCTTTTTGTCATTGGTTAATTGGGCCAATACGGCACCTAATCCTGTGCCCGAAGCATCAGTATGTAGGTGAAAGGGTTTAGAAAAGTCAGGATATCAGAGGATTGGGGCTGTAGTTAATTTATTTTTTAATAATTTAAAGGCTTCCTGCTATTCTTTACCCCACTCATAAGCCTTATTCTTTTTTAATAGGTCGTGTAGGGGCTGGGCTACCTTGGAGAAGTTTTAGATAAACCTACGGTAATAGGAGGCTAGGCCCAAGAATCCTCTTAGTTGATGTAGGTTCGTAGGGATGAGAAAGTTTTTGACCTTAATTATCTTATCTTCATCAGATAATAGACCTTCCTGATTTACTTTATAGTCTAGAAATTTGATTTCATGGAGGAAAAGATGACATTTTTCCTTGTTTAACTTCAATTTTGCTTTTCTTAAGGAGGCGAAAACAACCTTCAGATGTTAGACATGTTCTTCAAATAGACAGTTATATTATCTAGATATACTACTAGGAACTTTTCTTTGTAATCGTTTAGTACTTCGTCTATAAGTCTCTGAAAGGTTGCGGGAGCATTGCATAACCCAAACAGTATCACATTAAATTCGTAGGTGCTGAATTTGATTATGAATGCTATTTTCTTTTTATCTTCTTCTCATATGGCTATTTGGAAGTAACCACTAGCCAAGTCTAGGCTAGAAAACCACCAAGCGCCTTGGAAGGATTCTAAAACTTCTTCAATTAGCAGCAAAGGATAGGTGCCTTTTTCAGTTATGCTATTTAACTTCTTATAATCAATGCACAACCTTTTTTTGCCATTTTTCTTAGGTACTATAACAACGGGTGAAGACTAGGGGCTACCCTTGCACTTCCTAATTATACCTTTTTCTTCCATGGCTGCAATTTCTTTAACAAGAAATTCTTGTTCGTCTTTAGAGGTATGATAATAAGTATGTTTAATTGGTTTGGGCATGCTGGTATAAATTTCATGTTGGGTTAAGTTGGTACAACCTAGACCCAAAGTTTAACCCTCTTTAGCTATATCTTCTGCGAATATGTCCTTATTATTGTCTAACAAGGTTTCTACAATTATTTTTTCTTTTTCACTTAATTGGCCTAGACTATTATTCTTGCTCAGGACTATAGGATTTACCTCAGTTAAGTATATGGCCAAATTGTCGTCTTTAATTACTATTTTTTCTTCCTCACTGTCTAGTTCAAATTCTTCAGAGTAATAGGTTTCATACTCTTCTAACTCTTCTTCTTCGAACTATAGTTCGTCCATTAAATCTTCTAGGCTATCTAACTCTTCACTAATATCATCTAGTAGAGGTTGATTGTCAAGGTGGGTGGTGGGTATAACTGTTCTCTGTTCATTGTAGTTTATCCTTAAGGTTCTAGTGTTAAAGTCCCATTGGGCTTGAACCTTTTCAAACTAGTCAGTGCCTAAAAGAAGAGTCTCTTCCAGGGACTCTATTACTTGGAGTTGGGTGGGTATAAGCATGTCTTGTATGGCCAACTTGGCGTCATTAATTTGACCCAATGCTCTTTCCTTTTGCCCATTGGCTGTGACTATGACAACCCTGGAGAGTGTGTCTATGTTTAGGCCTAGTTTCCTCCTCAACCTATTGGTAATTATGCTTACTGCGGCTCTTGAGTCAAGAATGGCAATTATCAGGTTTCCTTTTACTCTTATGTAGCATTTGGCTGTGGTAGTTTTACATGTTCCCACATTATCCATGTTATGAATATGGTTTACTGTTGTAGGTTCAGCAAGTTGGGGGCTACAGCATAGTACTTTAGTGAGGTTTCTTCTTTGGTTCAGGTACTGCAGCATTTGGCCTAGGGTGGTGCTGAATGATAGTCTTAGGATATCTTTGGAGATATCATAGGATTTAATCTGATCAATCACTAATGGTTGTTTTTTAACTTTTAATTTCCTTATAGTAGGTACTGGCCTAACACTTTCCTCATCCACTTGCATAGGGTTGAGTTTAACATGTTTTCTCAAGTTATACTCTCCTTGGGGCTCTAATCTTTTTCCCTTGTGGACTTGATAGCCTGTATCACATGACTGGTGGAGATCCCTATCCCAGTATACACTTGTTCTATGGTATATAAATGTTCATTATTATTATTATTGATTCAGGCCATATTTACTCTTTTATTTTCACAATTATTAGGCCTATTACACTCATTTCTGTTACATCTTTCAGTTAGACAATTCCTCCTAAGTGGCCACGCTCATCACATACATAGCATCGGCGGGTCTTGGAGTTTTCAGTACATGGTTATGCCTGGGTAGGTAGATCTGTCTATTGTTGTTTTCTGGGGATGCAAGTGGGAGGTAAGGGAGGCGTAATTTAATGACATTTGTTGCATTTTTGTGTTAACAGGTTTATATCATTCTCTAATTTCCTTTCTGAGTTTTTATCTTGTTCCTTATATAAAATTTTCCAGCTCCTACTTGCTCTGCTACTTCAATTGCCTCCTCTAGGGTCTGTGGGTTCTTCATCGCAGTGTACATGGCAACCTCTTGCCTTAACCCAAATATAAACAAACGAACAACATAGTCGTCGGGTATCTTGTTTTCGGGGTCAACCTTCTTCCTAAGTCGCTTGAATTTAGCAACATATTCGGGCACACATTCCGTTGGCCCCTGCTCAATATTATGTAACTCATTATGCCACTTATTTTTCCTTTCCAGGGTCCCGAAACGCCTATTAAATAGGGCTACGAACGAGGTATCTTCAGCATCATCCCAGCTAGTAATTTTACCTTTAATATTATCATACCAAAAGGAGGCGTTCCCAAGTAGATACCGGAAGCGATTTCAATTTTTCGATTATCCTTCCAGTTATTGGCTAATGCAGCTTTTTTGAACATAGCTACCCACTCAATAGGGTCCTCATCTTTCATACTGTGAAACTGATCGACCTTAATAATATTCAACTCCTTTACACCACCGGGTGTTCCTTGTTTAAATTTGTCAGCTACTTCTTTAAAACCATCAGCTACTTGCTTGAGGAGTTGGCGAAGTTGGGTGAAGTCCATAATCACTTTTTCCGATATATGGGGGCCCCACAGCAAAAGGTGGCTATGGGCTAAAAATTTTTTTTCTGTAGTTTTTTGAAATTATGTTCTAAATGATCTAATTTTTGCAAAAATAAAGTTTTTACAAAAAAAATTTTTTTTGCCCATAGCCACCTTTTGCTGTGGGGCCCTCCATATATAATTCTATTTTTATAATGATTACTCTTCTCTTTAATCCAATATACTCAAGGTTGAATTTCTTTTAGGCGTTCACACAGAACCTAATACTGTGGCTCACACAGAGCGATTTTCTTTAAACTCACACAGGGTTATTTTTACAGCTTTGGCATTGATTCTCATTATGAATCTCATGGTTCACCACCAATTGTTAACCTGCATATACCTCTCGGAAACAGGGTTAATGGTTCAACTAATAACAGGGAATCACATGAACACAGGGACACAAGAACCATGTAATGGTATGTTAGAGTTGTAAGTATGTGATTTAGCAAGAGGATTTATTATAGTTGTATGATTTGGTTAATATGAAAGAAGGCGTGTATGTATTTTTAGAATCAAATAAAGAAAGTGTCCTTTATTAAGAATTATATATATATTATCAAATGCTATAGCAAGCATGCCTACAAAGTGGAACGAAACTCGCTCATTTATATAATAAAATAACTACTATTAATTACATATGGCCTTTGAGCTATAAACGTCCCAACTGCTATAAATGTCCTTAATATCCCTAATACCATTAATATCTCCTATCTCCCTTGATCTATTTAATTCCTTTGAGCCATATCAGGTACATACGGCACAATGGGCACATGTGGCACATTCGTCACATTCGATACATTTGGTACATTTGGCGCAGCAAACCTGTGACTAACATTCTCGTGACTTAACAATTTAGTCAGGGTTATATCAGCAAGGGTAACACCGTATAATCACGAATAACACTCGTGGACGTTATTTTGAAAATTGGGTGCTTCAAAAATAACTTATATGGTCTCGAATTAGCACTCATAAGCGTCTCGAATTAACGCGCATCCTAATCACATAACTTATAGTTGCGATAAATATACTATAAGTGCATTTCACATGCACTTTCCCTAATGATAGTGCGATCCGTAAACTGTTAGTTAATATAAATAAACTGTAGTTTATTGTAAAACTGTAGTTTTAAAATAAACCACAGTTTATTTATATGTACTATAATTCACAGTTCACATCTCTACCTTTAGCATAGCTGGGCAATATAGAAATATTATAAGATTACAGTATAATATAAAAAAAACTCTACCCTATTCTAATCTAAATCTAATTTAAACTATAACCCTCACCTAACCCTAACTATTTATAAATTTGTTTAAAATAGTTTAAAAAGTTATTTTTATATATTATAATTTTATAATAATTATATATTGCCTAGCCATACTAAAGATCAACCAAAAAGATCATTTCAAATTTCAGCAATCTGCTTATAGTCGTTCGTAGCCGAACCCATCCCTAAGTGTAAGTGACTTTTGTAAAGCTTATCGATGTATTCTTAAATCGATTTCTGTATCAGTCGTGACAATAATTAAAAATGAAAAACAAACCCAGCTGTATGACTATCTTATTACTAATACTAAGCCCGTGGGTACCCAGGTATCGTCACTACCCGGCCCATGCGGATGCCTAATTAGCAGGTTGCATAAATAATTGACGAGCATGAGATTAACACATAGAATTTTAGTAGTACGTATTAGGCTCGCTTGCCATTTTTTTTTTTTTTGTTAAAGATCATACTGGTGTGACAACGTCACGCAGCTACTTATAATAATAATGTAAAAGAATGAGGCGCTTAAAAGATTATTCTTTTAGTAAATTAATGAAAAGTATCAGTCAATAAGCGCAGCTATGTGAAAAAAAGGCCTCCATTTTTTGTTAATGAAATAGTAAATACTCTATCGGTTAAACAATCTTCCACCACTAAATTTTCGTTTCTGGCTCATTAAACTCCCACACGAACATGTACTAGTAATTATTATTTTTTTAGGAAGGTGAAAATGCACAAAAAAAAAAAAAGTACTTTATGGTTTGAAAAATACCGTAAATTGCATGTGCGCGTTCAAATTTTTTTACTTACCATTTGCTATACCTAGGGATGTTATAGTCCTAAAAATAACTGTTAAAGACCTGGTTCAGATAGTAGTCCCGGTTAATTATAGTCCTGGTTCTGGTTAAATATAGTTCAAGCTCAAATTCGGTTAAAAACCCGTTTATAATATTCTATATGTTAATTACAGTAAACTCACTCGGCTATATTGTATTTTTAAATTGAAATTGTGCATAAATCTTGTAACAACCCCCTTGGTTAAATAACGGTCTCAATTATGGTCCTTGGTCCGGTCTGGTCCACAAATTAATAGCTAAATGTCTTTTATGAACCGGACCGAACCAGACTGAACTATAACATCCCTAGCTATACCCAGAGTCTAGTAAAGAATTTTAAATTTAGTGGAGCGTAATAGATCGGGTCATTATTAGCTCTGAAAGAAAGAATTTTTAGTTTCTTAATCATTGGATCAAGATCTGTAAACCATTATTTTAAACATACTACACACGTTCTTTTTTCAGTGATAGTAGAATTTATTAAAAATTATCGGTTTATTTTATTTTAAAATTTCAATTTCATTTAACAAAATATAAAATACAACATTAACAATGTATACAGTAAAGCCAGCATTTAAATAATTTTTCAAAAAAATGCATCAAACGAAGATGTTAATCGCAATATCCAGGGGTTTCTACACTTTTGATCAAACTATAATAATGTGAAATCATTAATATCCATAAGTTACATTTGCAAATATAAGAGGAAATAAAGTACATACCCTACAACACCAAATGTAGCCTTGGTGAATGCATGTACGCTAACGTATCCAAAGAGACACCGTGTTAGTAATCGCTGATATAAATTACAAGTTCAAGATATTCACAGAATATATAACAAATGATGCAAGCATACTTTGTCGACGCAAGGGGTTTGTATACCTTGGACTGCAACCTAAAATATGCGAAAAGAAACGATGCAAGGTCAGTTCTATAATATAGTAATAATATTGTTGAAAAAAACGAGGCTAACCGATAAGAAAATAATTAGTGTGAGAGAAGTTAAGAGGTTATAAATTCCTTTCATTGTAGTCTTTGTTGTTCATTACATGATTACTCAATTGTCAGGTATTTATATCAGTGTTGAAAATTCAGCACAAATATGCTGAGCAAAATAATTTTTTTATACAGTAATGTTTTTGTACAAAAAACGAATTTTCCCATTAATAGATAATCATATTTGAAATACATTAATGGATTTATGATTTTAACTTTACGGAATATATGTTATTAAACGATCATACAGTAACTTCACATCAATCATATGATATTGTGGTAAATTCTCTCTTTATTAGTAGCAAGCGTGAAGCATATGAAGAATCTGCAGTAAGCAAATTAAAAATTCATTCCGCAAGAAAAATTTTCTTGGAATCTGCTTAGTGATACGAGCCGACTCCAGCCCGGTGTTATGCTTGGAACTTTTTTCTTTTTCTTTATTTAGTATTTTATTATTTTTATCAGTATTATTTTATTATTTTCTTACTTGGGAACCCTATAAGAAAAATGTACCGGTTACCGTTTACAGCTGTTTTCATAATTCCTGGGACACCTGATAAAAATTTAGCCTCATGAATTTTTGGCCGATCCGATTAAGTTATTGATTTGTATATAAAAACTATACTTTTGAATCAGGTCTCGATTTTTAACATTAATATTGATATCGATATACATAACGTGACAAATTAAATTACATTTTTGGTCCGATTTCAAAAATAATCTCCCATATTTAATTGATATTAGTGATACGGGTCAATGAAAAAATCATGGGCTGGGGTTGATTCAAAAAAA